TCACTCAGTCATAACACAGCACTACCAATAGTGCCACTCTGCAGCGTGGTTAATCACAGTTAACTGTCACCCCACACAGAGGCAGAGTCGTGTTAATTATTTTCTAGATTCTACAATAACAACTCCACTTTTTTTCCTTTCAGGGGAAGATATTAATGTTCTATAACGTTGGAAAAACTCAGTGAACATTGCTAACATTTAGGTGAACAAAGACAGACAGAGAGAGACATCATCAGAATATATACACCACTGATGGAATTTGAGGAAATTGAGGGAAATACTGTATGAATCATCTGCTGTCTTATTACTGGACTCTTCCTGTGAGTCAAGTGACCATGCAAATCATCCATAAAACTTTGATAAGGTGTACTTAAGGTCATAATTTGAACTTTATCTTTTATTACATTGGCAGGTGGCTTTAATACAGTGTGTCTGCAAATGAGGCCATAACTGTACAGTGTTATGTAATGCAGGGTGTGTCTCAGTTGGCTCTGTACAAAAGCTTGTATGCCGTGTGCTCATGCTGATTGTCTCTCCTGTTTGTGTCTTTGTTAGCACGAAAATGGAGAGTCGCTGCGCAAAGACCCTGATCCCAAGCCGTCGTCCAACCCGACTCGCAAGTTTGTCAGGTTAATGAGCAAACGTTTTGTCTATTGTTCTTTGCGTGGATTAATCACTGGGAAGGATCAAATAGAGATCAAACAGTTTTTTTAAGATAAGATAAAGGTTATTGATTCTACACCGGGAAATTAAAGTGCAGCTGACGAGAAGAACAGTGTAAGCAGTGAAATAGCAACCAAAAGTAAGATATTCCCCAAGTTAAAATTGCTTAGTTTAAGTGGTTGATATGAAGTCGGTTGTCTTCATGTCAACCATTTTTAAGACAACATGTGCTTACAAACCACATTTAGTTAGATTTGGAAACTTGACATACACTTAAATATTATTACAGTATATACAATGTTTAATTCAATCTCCCATCCCTCTGATTAATCAACTGGAAAGACAGTTTGGGAATTTTTGTTTAAGAAGTTGAGACAACAAGACATGGAGGCACGTCTGGTTTTCTGTTTGGATACATATATTTTGATGGTTATTTGTCAGTTTGACAATGCTGCCAGCCGGTCATTCTAAAAGATAAAAATGTTATTATCCGTTTAAGAGGGTTTTGACATGGTAGATTAACTTTATTATTCCTAGAAGGGTAGACCCAGACTGCAGAAAACAATATCGCAAAAGGACACTGGTGAACAGGGTGCAGTAAAGACTTTAATACTCTGCAGCTTTACTGTGAGTTGCTCCTGGATGACTGGTTGCTTTCTCACGCACATCTTCAACTGACCTTTCAGTTCACTTGTGTTTCTCTGGTGTTGCAGTTCTGTCTCCATCTCACTTGACAAAAGTCCCTCTGTCAGCGGGTGCACGAGTCCCATGAGCCCTCGCTCTCCGACGGCCCCCTTGTCTCCTCGAGAACACTGGTCGTCGCCTTGCCAGAGTCCCTCTCCAAGAGGAGCTCAAAGCCCCGTTCAGAATGGACACACACAGGAGGTATTTTAACACACAGATACACACAGTGTTAGGTGACATAATCTACAACATCACTATCTGTGCTTCATGTTTTGCTTGTCACATGGAGTTTGGCTGCAAAGTGCTTGCTCAGCGCTGATGCTGCTGCTTATTAAGTCCAATAAAGCAACAGTACCCTCTAGTGATAAAAGAGTAGAAGTTACAGCCTTTGTGTCAAAAAAGCAAATCTTTGGCACCATAGTTACACAAAGTAAACAGTCTTGAAGGATGAAAGAGATGCTCACTAAAGCTAATCTTCATCTGACTGGGGATAGTTACATCTAATCCTATGATTACACTGACTATAACAGGACATTTTAAGTTATTTTACTTTACCTCAGGCCAGTGTGAATGGCTCTTCGCCCAACAGCAACTTTGAGCAGACGGCCAAACCTGCGTTCGTCAGACAGAGCTCCAGGACTATATCTTTTAGGGTAAACACATCCAACCCACACACATATACATACATGCATGCACACATTCTCCCTTGTAAATGCCAATGTTACCTTTTGCCTATTTGACTGTTAAAGCACGATTTAATCTCGCATCAGACTATCAGTTGAGGCTAATTTGCTTGTGCCACTCAAGCTTTGGGCTTATGCTAATAGCTGAAGAAATATTTACCAGAACTTTAATGCTGACTGGTGGCTTTGTTAACACCCTAACACATCACAAGGGACCGGGTGACTGCTGCTCATTAGTGGCTGATGTTTGGATGGCAGTAAGGTCTGGTAATGCGCATTCACATATGCTTGGTTTTCCACAGATGATGAGGAAGAAAGAAGAGGAGACTGCGCCGCTGCAGAGGAGGTGAAGAAACATCATTGACTTTATACAGTCTCTTTGTACCCATCTGCCTCAGTTTGAGTGCTGACTGTGTTATTCTGTTGCAGTGCCAGTGTGAGGATGGCCTCCAAGAAGTTTGAATCGAATACAGTAAGAGAACAATTTATAATGTATAATAATAATGGTGATAATACTGGGATTAAGTTTATTTGTATAGTGCTATATACCTACATTGAATATTGGTAAACAGTTACAAATGATCAAAAAGCATGCACTCGATTCTTGGCTTTATGGTATAAAAATTATTTAGTGAAATTTACATAATCTCATCACTCTGCACCTTGAACAGGAAGGTTTTTTTTTCAGTTTTGGTTGGGTAAAAAGATCACAGATATAGTGCAACATACTGTCAATGAAATTAAAATGTATGTTATTTGTTTTAAAGTTGTACATAGATGACTTACAGTGTTTGTAATGTTAATTATCCTTGGGTTTGGACCAGGACCAAAATGAAAATGAAGACAAAGCATCATCTTTCCAAAGAAAGTGAGTTTTTATAGTTAATTTTCTTATTTTACCCCTTTAAAAAAGTTTTAATTATTATCTTTTTAGTCAAAGTGTACAAAGCTGGACCTTTGCATATGTGCATTCTGTTTTCTGTCCAGCTCTAGGCAGAGGATTTCATCCAGGTCCATCCAGGAGAAGATGGAGAGACTGGCTCAGGCTTCACAGGTCAGAAAAACATAATAACTCTTCATTTTAATGTAGCATATTGATTTTGTGACAAAATACAGAGTAACTTTGCAAAAAATTCTGCTTCCTATATGTGCATAGAAGTCAGAAATGATGCGATCTCCAGACGTGACCCAGAGGACCCTGTTCCTGCTGGACGAGGTGTCCAGGAAGAGAGGCCTCTTTGAGAAGGAGAAGCAGCAGGCAGGGTGCCCCACCAGCCCAGGAGTTTCCAGACAGGTACATTCATTACTCACGATCCACTTTTTGTTCTGTATCAGACGTGCTATCATTGAATGCACTGATATCATTAACATGTTCAAAATATTTCCCATCTTATTGTTGTTATCAGGAGTTTAGGAGCTTCACATCAGGAATGTCAGACCGGATCAACCGCTGGCTGAACAAGACCAACCAAACTGGGTCTTCACAAAGTCCTGCTGTAAGGCTGTTTGGATTGTTTTATGTCCGCTAAAACTAGTTACAAAAGTGTAACATCTGGCTGCTAGAGGGCAGTAGAACACTTTCAGATATAACGTATGTCTCAGTGTCCTCAGCGGGATATATGTTTTGTCCCTGCTGCTTACCTGTGATTAGTTTTGCATTTTACGGTTATTATGGAGGTAATTATGTAAAAAGTGGTCAAGTTGCTCTCATGAAAGGATATTTAGGGATTGAGGACAGTACGCCAAGACCAAACAAACTCTGATTATGTTCCTTGTTGTAAAAAATAGGTTTTCTCCTGTAGTTCCAGCAACTGTGATTTAAATAAAGTAAACTGAATATTTTTAATTCTGAAAGCAACATCTTGTTGTGTTTTAGTGAGCAATGTTTGACTTGTGGTGATTTGATACTTAAGTTCAGAGTTGAGCTGGTTTTAACTGGTTGACTTAACTTCAGAAGTTTATGTCCCGGCTTGCTGTTAGTTTTAACAGTAAGGTATCCATGGCAACAGGGACATTTTCAGCTCTGTTGTATTTGAGCAAAAATAAGGATACATAAATGACAGAATAAAAATTATCTAACACAAATCAGTATGGGAGGGCATATATGTTCCTCTCTTCTGTCTGTTGTATTGAGGGTTGGTTGCCTTGTACAAATAAGTGATCATTTTCTATTTATAGGACTTGAGACATGTGGACATCACCAGTAAGAGGAGCCTGTTTGAGAGCAGTGGGAAGTGAAGGAGAACCATTTATAATGCCCAGCAGGTAAGATTACTGTCCCACACTGCGTGTTGTAACATATAGCAATACTTTTTCTGTCTGTTCATTGCTATGGAAAAAGTATCTTAATAAAGCAGATCTGAGGCAGCCAACAACTTTAACACAACTTTTTATTTAAATAAGAAATAAAAATGTATTTCTGTGCCTTTTCATTTGTATGATTTAGAAGATGGCAAAAGGACACGGAGAGAACTGGAAGATTAATGGTTGCCATGACTGACTGATTCTTTCTTCAAGCTTTTTGTTTTGTTTTTTTCTTTACCGCCAAAGCGAAAGGAGGAACAGATGTGCGAAAGTTGAGTTTTAGCTTTAGAGGACTGAAAAGAAGGATACTGCTTTTAAGGTTAGGAGGCTTTAATCATCATACACATTTGCATTGCTGCTTGAAGTATAAACTTATTTCAAACATTAAAATACAAGAGGAAGATGTTTAAACTCTGTGTCAGGAAGAGAGTAAAAAGCAAAGTAGACATGAGAGGAAAAGAAAAGAGAAGGCAGTGATATATTTGCTTTAAAACTATTTGGCTGTTTGCCTTGACTTTGTGTAATTGTGTAAAGCACTTTAAACAGGTGAAGGTCTAATGATAGCTATTTTTATTGAATTACAGTAGTGGGAATTCTGGAGTTGTAATTGTACTTCTTTTCTAATTGGCTAAATGTATTTTTGTTCTGTGTCATTGTGGACAAGGTGATGCCTGTAAGGAAAGAATAAAATGTTTTATTAGCACAAATGTGTGTCATAAATCTATTTTAATTGCTCACTTACACACTATGGATACAGTGTCTAGTGTTAAATGCATATACACTTTTAACATCACTTATCTCAGTGGAGGAGGATGTAGATAAGAGTTGTATGCCTGTGTTTTGTCAGTGGCAAGCTGCCATACAAGGGTGATAGTGTGTGTGTGTGTGTG